TCTGCTGTGTCTTCTCGCTAAGGGACCATCCTAAAGGTCATAGCTTGAGCGTCAGAAAGTCTACGATAGGTGATGGTGGTTGTCATTTACGGACAGGCACCTCACAACGAACATATTCCAGGATATCGATGACCACATTGTAAAGCCATCGACAAGCAGCTTCTTCATGGTGATGGATGAGAACATCGTCGAGGTAGGTTATTATCGCCTCGTCGTTCAGGGTGTACTCGGGCAGGCCGGTTCGTAGTGCCAAAGCCAAACCATAACTCCACCATGCAGCAGAGCGGACCCATCCCATGATAAGAGCTTTGTGAAGAAAGTAACGAGTCTTCATCTCGCCTGTACGGTCGTCTGGAAGCTGAATAGCTGCACCGAATAGTGGTGACGAATCTTCATCATAGTGCATTCTCCAGTATGCCGCCTTTACGTCCACAGTTTCAATTAACCGAGACGGCTTCTCGCGGTTAGTCACGTGACCGTCTTTGGACCACGGGATACTCCGAAGGACATCATCGACAGAAGAGAGGTATTGTTTCCAGTCTCCTTCCAGAGGAGCCGTTGCAACATTGGCATTGCGAGAATCAATCACCGTGCGATAGCGGTCGGCGACATTCTCCTTGGTGAGGGGCACCTCAGTGACGTTCCCAGGTTTGGGTACTAAGAAGAGTGGGTTGAAGTGTGTGTTACGGAAGTACTTGTATGAATTTGGGGTTATCTCTTCCAAAATACCGTCTTCCTCCATGGACTTGACGAGCCATGCCGCCGCCTTCCGCTCAGTATCATTTTTGAGCGGGTAGGTACACCGACCAGATTTAGGTATGCACGCACCTTCACGCCTAATTGCCTTGACCACCGGAAAGGCACAGCCCTTGAGCCGCTGGGCGATGAGTTTTTTCACCTTCTCGGATAAGTCGCCGATACGCAAAGTTGATTCTTCAGAGGGCTTCGGGAATGGCCTCGAAGTTGCCGCCATTGCAGCATTGTTGACCTCCACCAACCGGCCAGATAGCTTTAACGCCTCCAAAGATACGGTAAGAATAGGGAAGTCTAGGTTTAGGCCTATTTTCTGGATAGATCCCAAACCAAGAAATATCATCGGAGATTCTGTATCGAGGAGCTCCCTCGGATACACCAATCCCTCGAGCTTACAAGCTGCTCCGAAGATCGAACATTTCAGAGAGATCTTGGAGGTTAATGTGACAGTCGCACCGATACCTTGAATAAGACAAGGCCGATCCAGAGCTTGTATGCTATGCTTGACCCCGAGGTTAACGATGGTATCCTCAGGTATAAGAGTGTGAACACTGCCACTATCGAGAACTAATAGGACCTCCCACCGTAACTGGTAACTGGGACTGCTACCATCCTGCCGTCAGCTGCGTGAAAAGCCGAGAACACGGTGTCGGGATTCTCTTCGACAGACTCGACGTCAACACTCTCCTCGACGGTCTCTCCCTCTTGCGATGTAACGACGGCGGCTACCACTCGCTTCTTGGGTAAATCGCCCGACTTGGCTGGGTGCAACTCTGGGTGCAAGGCTCAGCAGATGTCCTTATTGTGACCTCGTCGTCTACAGTGTGGACACCGCGGACTTTTCGACGCCTCTTCTCCGGGCTGATTCCAGGATTTGGACGTTTTTCAGTCCTAGGTTGAGACCTTCGGTCGCCCTGAGGCTTGCCGCTGTTCCCTTCTTTCACTGGTTCTCCAGGAGGGAATTTCCGAGTTTGGGGTTAGATGTCGTTTCATCAGAGGCCTTCTGCGAGCCCTCGACCACTTTGGATGTAGGTTTCGGTCGCTCTCCTTCCCAGGGAAAGCGGTATGCCGAGGTCACTTGATAGGTACGAAGCCACGCCACCAGCGAATCATATTTAACATCCAATGGGAATAACCTTTGTTGTCTTAAATAGACAGAGTAAGCCGTCGAAAGTGATCGTCCAACGTTCTTGAGTATAACAACCGCACGCTGATATGAAGAAGGATGGGTTGCTCGAAGGTAACAGCAAACATCAGTGAGGTTGCGGAAAGCCTTCGTCTCCCGTGAAAGGAAGCCGTCCAAATTCTCATTTTCACTCTGCTTGATCCCTCGCCACTCACGGTAGGCCGCGTCGTAGCTGATACATGGTATTTCTCCATGAGTCAGGTGAGCGAGGATTGAACACAACAACTGTTCCCACGCTTTGCCCCATATCGCATCATCAGTAGATCTCAGCCGAGCCAGCGCCGCCTCTCGTTGCGTTGAAGTAGGAGCTTTCCATTTGGGACCACAACCTTTTCTCAGGTCATTGAGATTGCTGAGGAAGGAGTCGGAATATGGAGTACCAACGAGAGAGTTGATGGCAGCGTCTATCCGTGGTCGTCTCGAGCTCGGCTCATCGTGTCGTGAATAGTAACAGATCAGTACTGCCGCTATGAGGGCTGCGTCCATAGAGTAGTAGTTCTCTAACTCCGACACAAACTCTCGTAAGGCCTTCAGGAATGCCGTCCCCTGGCTCTCCGATAAGGACTTGTCCCAGCCTTTAGCAACATATCTGCTTAGACTCCACGGTGACTTGGACCACGTCCACCATCTGATGTCCTCGTAACCACGCCATTGGTCATACTGAGTTGCCGCCAGGATCTGGTTGATCACAGAATCCTCACGGCGAGCATAACCCACGGGATTGAGGACCGACTCCAGCAGTTTGCGGGCCGAAAGTCGTTGGAGTGTAGTCTCCAAGGATCCCTCTTTGATGACGACGCCCTCGTCAATATCCTCAACCCTATCTCTGTCCCCAGTATTGGCCGATTGGTACTCCTGGGCCTCAGAGCTCTCCGCTTGTGGTAGGTTCTCCTCCTCAGCGGTACCCAGTCTCTCCTCGGAATCTTCCGACGGTGGGGGTGCAGGTCTGGATGGGGTCCTCCGGGGAGTATTACGACGTCTATTATTGCGCCTTGGACTTGTCATCGTTCGGCTGATGGTCTATTAACTCGGTTATTCTTGATGTAACCTCTTAACTCAAGTCCTGGGTCTTTCGTTGTACCGGTATTATGGGAGTAGACTGATAGGTAGAATGTCAGGCGTACGAGTCCAATAACCGAGTTAATGAAATGACAACTAACATGGATATTCGTATTAGGACGGACTGATAATAGGTTGGACTATACGACTATGACGCGAGCACAATGAACGGAACATAGCGAATTATGATCGTAAAAAGCGCTCGTCTTGATAATCGATAACGTTCAAGACAAATAGTATCAACAGTACTACCGTAGTACTACTACGACTAGACGAGGGCCCCCATTTCAAACGCCCCGCCCTCTGTACAGTAGCCTGGCCTACGTCGCCGTTCTAGTCGGCTGGCTTGACGATGGCCATCAACCACACTGGACTACACCGTTTCGGTACTATATACATCTTCAGAAGATGCCTCGACCCGATCTTGAGGAGCCTCACCAGACTACGCAGACAATGATGCAATCGCAAGCTTACCACCCAGTACAGCCGGCTAGGAACGCAACGTGATACTGAACTAAAAACACTTCAATTGAATGATTGGCCGCGAAGTTGAGTGATAGCTCGTCAACTTCATACCATTCAGCTGGGACTTGTTGCCGGCAACGGGATCGTGAGGAAACGCGACACCGTGTCTGCTATCGAGTTCCGCTCCCGTTGTTTATAAGTACACTCAATCTGGCAGCGCGAGAACCCCACCGACGTCACTATCTCGTTGAGAGAAGCCGACCTGGCCTTGAGCTTGCGTAGGACACCCCTTGTGGCCGAACTATTCGTGAGGCAGTGTACGTATCCCACACGCTGCCGACCATACTCCAGAACTTTAAGAGCGACTCCGACGAATGCTAATTCCAAGAAATTGATGTCACCTGCCAGAAACTTGGCTCGTGCCTGCCCGAGCAGGGGTGAAACACCCCACCATTTCACCAACAGCGACCACAGCTCATCGTCATCTGTATCGTTAATATTGAACCACCATGTCTTGTCTCTCGCGCTCAATAGAAAAAGCACACTCGCCATCCCCCCTAAGCAAGCATCAGTGCGAACACACCACATCGGAATACCAGAACCCGGAACCGTAGTGTCTGGACTGGCCACATACAGTATGCTGCATTGTCCATGTTCCCCGAACAAATCACCCAAAGAGCGTAATTTCCCACTCTCTCCTCCGAAGTCGACAAGGTTCGTAGATTATGCTTTGCTGCCACCGCTGTAAATTCCCTAACCACATTCAGCTCCCGGACTAGAGGTCTCGCTATCTGAGCCGCCCATGATAAACGCCCCTCTAGCCGGTTGAGAACCTTGACCGACTTGGAAGCACAAAACGGCTCAATCCCCTCACAAATTTGTTCGATCTTGACTGATGAGCTCGAAGGATAATGCTATCCCCCTCTCCATTCAGTGCTGTCTCGAAATCTAGAATAATAGCTCCCTCCGCACCGGAGGCTCCGCTAGTATTTTCACCTTCTTGAATGAAATGGGGAACCCTATCATTACCAATACCAACAACGTGAGGCATGCAGCAAACTGCGCATGTCTCGGCAGTGCCGAGGCGGCACAGATGCAGACACATCATCCACATATAGCATCGAGCGAAATCATAAGCGAAACTCTCCTCATCTGACCTTCTTAGTCGCCCGATCCAATCGACTTAAACCGTTCCGGCAAATTTAGGATCGCTAGCGCTACCGCTAGCAGCCGCTTCGTAACTCTGAGGCCAACCGCCGCTCCTCTACAGAATATGTTTTGGACTAGTGATCAGTCCGAAACAGCAAGGCGAACCTCATTGTGGCAAGGCTACCTTCACATGTGGCCGCCATTTGTTAGCCATTTCAGTCTGGCCTTCCCTGTCCGCTGCCATGAAGCGTAAAATGAAGTCTTCATGCTCCCTCATAAAGTCTCGGACAGTCTCGCGCAGTATTCCCACAATACTCAACACTCCCTGCCAATTTTCCTTCTGCAAACGAGACGTGGTCCCACTGCGTCACCCATGGTGCCCCGACACCATCTCTGCGTTCGTTAGTCAGGACAGCCCCTTTCAGCGCCTCCAACTCAATTTGCCACGAATGCGACGCCTTCGTCATCCTTCGAGCATCCCGGCGTTTCTCTTGTGCTGCCGACCTTGCGTGAGGCATAATAATCACACGCAAGACTACTAAAGAGGAACATTGTTTGCCGCTAAGCCGATATGAAACAGCCGATATAAGCGACCGCTCGCTCATGCGTAACTGAAGAATCTCATAGCTCCGAAACAATCCTGCTGAGAGTCTACGGATAGCCTTACTTTTGCAGCGCATACAATCTCTCTTATCCGTGCAGCGGACTTCGCTGCCTCATCTCTCAGCCGCTCTTCAGTATATATGTTAATCATTCCATCCTGTCTCCAATGGAGACTCTCCATCGAGCTGCCGTCTTGATGACCTCTCTGGGGACAGCGGCTTGACCTTCACACTGTGCCCCTGTACGGCGACACCACCTCCAGCGAAGGATAGTAGATTAGGTAAATCAGTGTCTCCCATTCCCACAGGGGAGGACGATTGAAATTCTTCGCCGCTTGTGGAAACGACTTCCAGCTTACCAAAATCTCAAGTGGAGGTGTTTTCGAGGCTTTGAAGTACAATAACTTGTGAGCTGCACACCACAGCCCCCCCCGCGGAGCGGTCGGACTCCGTCAGATCACAAGCAGCCTCTACTTCCCCTTTTGTTACATTTCGTTACTCCCAAATGCACCCTAACCCGAACGCCTGTTTGGTCTGTTGCCACAGGTGATACATTCTCCATCTTAATCGATAGTAGCTCCCCAACGCGGAGGCTTAATGACACTCCCATGATCACCACACAGACATGTACGTGCTGTCATAAAGAACCGTAACACATTTTTCTTATCCAGAGCTTGTAACCTATGTGCATTAACCTTCGGCTGCACCCTGTACGAATTGTCATATTTGAGTGCAGCACCGACGCCGACTTGAGTAGACAACCATGAGACTACTAAAATATGCTAGGACACATACTGGATTCTCACGAACCGTAATACAACTTGTGACGCCCCAGCTACTAATAGCCGGTATCCAATTCTCTATAGACGCTATTGGCAGGCCCTTGGGTTAGCCTTTGAATCAAAGAATCAAAAGTCTTGATCCATACGGACTCGTTGTTGAGGCCTGGCACCAGCTTCGGTTTGCTCGTTTCCCCCACTTTATAGGTACGGACTCCGTACTACGGAGTTGTATACACCCAAGTCGATCTTTGCAATTTTCTCAGCTAGCTGTGGTAGTTATATAACCACCTCGGAAGGTATAACACCGAACATTGAGAAAGCCTTCGAGTTCAAGACCTGTATAGTGTTTCCGGATCCAGCGGCCTTGTCGTTAACCCCGGATTCTTTTCAGAGCTCCAACCACTCTGGCCTTGATTACTTGGTGTGACATCTGGTCATATCCCGTGGTACTGTCACTGCTGGAGGTACCAGCACTACTCGCCGCAGTACCTTCTCTCCCCGCAGCACCTGAATGCTTAGCAGTATTCGGAGCCTCGCTAAAGGTCATCTCCGTTACCCCGCTACCAGCCCTTACGTCACCAACTAACTCTTGTCACCAATACGTTTCTGGTATCTCTGTACTCGTAGATGTCCTTCAATCACCCAACTCTATACCTTGAAGCTGGCCAACACTTTAACTATGGTGGGAGCTAGATCCGGGGTGGCGATAAACGTAGCCTGACTTATCTCCATCTGTTATGAGGGGAAAAAAGGGGGGAAATGTTGAACTGTTACTGGTAGTACGCGACAAGTAAAACTACCGGGTGGTTACCGCGGTAATACCACCCTCTACAGTTACTCCCTACGACACAACGAACGACATAACGTGTCATATACAAAATAAGCATGTCGAGCGAAACCCGAGGCTATGGTGTTCATTAGGGTGTCACCTCTAACGAGAAGCATCATACAAATGTGAATTGTGTCACCACTAACAAGTTGTTTCCAGAAGCTCAACAGTGATCGACGAGCCATAGCAAGGCAGCCGTCGGACCAAGTCGAGACAAACTTCACACTAACAACGCACTTAAGAACAATTGATCTGATATACTACGACCTATGAATTATTTACTTCGTGATAATATCACGGTGATATCAAAGGCCATAACCACTGGTTATTACCCGGTCATCGGATGGTGCCCGTTTGCCACCATCGATTCCAAACCCTCTCGTGGTGATGTATATCACAAGCAAACCCTTGGTTTCAGGGGG